TATCCATGTGTAGATGACTGAACCTAGATCCCTGTCTCTCACCCTATACAAAAATCAATTCAAACTGGATCAAGCACTTCCCATTAGACATTTGAACTTGCTAAAAGAACAGATAGGGGAAAATATTCAAGTCTTAAAGCCATAGCTTATGCAAAGACTTCTGAATAGACTCCAGTGACACAGGAACTACTAGCAAGAATCAACAAATGAGACCACACCAAATTTAATAGGTACAATAGATTGCGAAATAGGAAGAAATGGTTCAAAAGGAAAGAAGAACTAAGAAGAGGAAAAGGAAGGAGAGGAAAGGAAAAAAATGATGAGAAAGGATGATGAAAACAAAGCTTTGTAAACAGGGTGGGGAAGAGGAATTGAAGTGAGAGGAGGGGATGGAGGAAAAAGAGGAATCAAAATATATCCTTACAGGTACAGATTCCCTACGATGAATATGATCATTGTGTGTATCTTAATTGTACCAATAAACTTACTCAAATAAAAAAAGGGAAACAACTAAGAGGGTGAAGGGATACTCTTAGAATGGGAGAAAAGAACTGCCAGCTACTCTTCTAGACTATTAATATCTGGGATACATAAAGAACTCAAAAAACTTAACTCCAAAAAATCATATAACCTGATCATTAAATGGGCAAATGAATAGAAATGTACTTCTCAGAAGTACAAAGGGCCATCCAATAGGTGTATGAAAAAAATATTCAACGTCTTTAGCCTTTAGGGAAATGCAAATGAAGATTATATTGAGATTCCATCTCAACCCAATCAGAATGGCTGTCATCAAGAATACAAAAACAGTAAATGCTGTAAGGATGCAGGGAAAGAACCCTTCTGCCCTGCTAGTGGGTATGTAAATTAGTACAGTCTCTATGGAAATTAGCATAGAGGGTCTTCAAAAAATTAAAAATAGAGTGTTCCATTCAATCCCACTATACCACTCCTTGGTATACACCCAAAGAAATGAAAGTCAGCCTGCTACAAAGATACCTGAATGCACATGTTTGTTGTAGTAACATTCACAGTAGCCAAGATGTGAAACCAGCCTAGTTTCCTAATCAACAGATGAATGGATAAAGAGAATGTGATACAGATATACAATGGCAGATGATTCAATTATAAGGAAAATTTTGCCATTTTCAGGAAAATGAATGAAACTGGAGAACATCATCTTAAGTGAAATAAGCCTGACTCAAAAAGACAAGCATTGCATGTTCTCCCTACTATGTATAATCCAAAAAAGATGATGTGACGGTAGAAGAGAAACTATTACTAGACATAAGGAAAAGGGGGAGAGGAGTACAGAAAGAATAATGAGGAGATGGTTGTGATCAAAACATACTTTGAACATTAAAACCTAGTATTTTCTGACATTCATAGGCACTAATAAAATGGAAAAGAAAAAATTAATGCCCTTACATTGCATGAATATGTTCAATGAAAACCAGCCTGAGTGTTTCTTATTATCTTGGTAAAGTAAAAGTCAGAACATGAAGAAAAAGAAAGTAATGAGGTTACTTGAGTCGATTCCTCTAATAAAACTTCTATTAATATTATGAAGAACAAGGCATAATGTACATACCTATAATCCCATCAGTCTGGAGGCTGAGGCAGAATGATTACAGGGTCATGCAAAGCCTGGGCAGCTAACAATTTAGTGGAAGCATGGCTCAAAAGTCTAAAAAAAATTTAAGCTGGGGATGTAGCTCAGTTGCAGAGCACCCTTAGGTTCTATCCTCGGTACTGGGAAAAATTATATATATATATTTTTTTTCATAATAATATAATATATAACATTATAATAATGTCTTATAATATGTAACATGTATGTGACCTGCTGTTGGAGGAAGCCTGACATGGAGATAAGATGTGGTGTCTTTTGATTCAGTGTGTGGCCTCAGCTTCCCAGTCTACCCCAGGCTCTGACCCAGTTACAATGACCTTACCCCTCTCAGCCAGACACACCATCATTCATTCAGTCATTCAATCAGCCAGCATTTACTGAGTCCATGCTGCTAGCAGGCATATGGTGGACACTAGGAACCCGAAGCTGAATGTGGCAGTCTCTCTGGAAGTCTACAGTCCAGCGGGAGACGTGAGTCATCTCGCAGTTCCAAGGCAGTCGTGATGTCCTGCAAAGAGAATTCTGCACAGAGCACAGAGATGCGTCATGGACCTAGCACCCAGGAAGTGTCTCAGGAAGAGGTGGCCCATGAGTGGGAGGTTTGGATATATGCTGGCCATTTTGCAGGAAAATGAATGGAAGGGCATTCCAGTCAGGAGGGGCAGTCCAGAGGCAGGCCAGTCAGGAGGAGGAGAGCACTGGGCAAAGAAACCCAGCGTGAGCAGTCGGATGGTTTGGAGAATCAAAGTACATATTTAGTTATAACCAGAATAATCCGCTGACACCTCCACCGCTTCTTTATTTGGCAAAGGATTACTCAGCATTCACCCACAGCACTGTCCTCTGCCACAGTTTTTTTTCACTCATTTATTTGCAAAAGATTACTCTTTACTTGTAGATAATTTTCAGTCTTTCATTCTAATTTAGAAGTGTCTTGATAGTAGAATTTATTAGTAGTTCATAGGAGTAGAAGTCTCATACCAGGGACAGCACACACCCACATTCCCTAGTGCACAGGTCTCTCATCATTAACTCCAACTGCCCTTTCCTTCGTAGGAAGCAAAATTAATTTTCAATTCTCATTTTCCTTTGCCAGCTTTCTGTTCACTTTGCTTTTCTGTGTGCATGCTCCAGGAGAAGGAATGGAGTGCAGAATCTCGGTAATCAAGGCTATAACTGAAAAGTGTCTGACAAATTTTCTCCTTGGTAATTTCTATGGAACAGCCATAGTATTTAATAATCGCATTGAAACAGAACACTAGAAGGGGCTGGGGATTTAGCTCAGCGGCAAAAGCGCCTGCCTGGCAAGCGCAAGGTCGTGAGTTCGGTTCCCGGTACCGGAGAAAAACCAAAAAAAATAAATAAATAAATAAATAAAAGAAAAAAGAAACAGAACACTAGAAATGGACAGGGGAGGAGGCCCAGGGAAACGGTTTGCCAACACGATGTCGTACAACCAGGGACAGTCAGGATAACAGCCACACTCTACTTAGAAAGCATGAGAACAGGTTTCAGGCTGAACTTTTCACTGTTCATGACACTTTCAGAAGGTCTGTTGTTTGTATAACCAGTTGGCTATGTTTCACTCATGACTTTAGTTGCAATTCCCACCTTTTACTTGTTAAAGTTGAGTACTGCTGAGCCTCATCATCCTTTGTGGAGAATTCAACGTGAGAAAACAAAGGAGCATCCCCAGATAGGCTTGTATGCCGCCAGCAGAGCTGATGATCTCCATCTCTGGAAAGAATGGTTGGCGTTATGGAAAAGAGAGGGGACAGCGGCTTTTGCAGGACACTGTCATCATAATGGTTGATGTCACAGTCTGTTTTCCTGTCTTCACAACTCTTCCAGCCCTCTTGCTGTCTTCTCCCCCTTCCCACCCAGCCCATCAGTTATTTGATCTTGTTGGCGCATCTCCCTATGAATGTAATTACTGATGCGTGCTTGCAAAATCAGCCAAGTATGACGTCAAGAAGAATCGTAATATCTCATGCGCTTTTTCGGTGTTTCAGTGAGAAGCATAAATGCATGTATTTGACCCCTGATTCATGGAGCACAACAGGGTGAGCAAAACCTCACTTTGTAGGTGTCCCCTCGAGGCTACACTCCTGCCCGGTAGACCCATGCACAGTCAGAGCTCTGCATTGCCGTATCACCCAGCAGTGCCCATCAGTTCTCAGAAATGAGAATTGTGCCTCGTTTCTCCCCCTAGTGTCTGCCCTTCTTCCTCTTCCTTTATTCTTCTCCAGCTTTGTCTCTGGCCCTGTCTAACCCACTGGGCTCACCCTCCTTGTCCATCACAGTTTAAATATTGCACCTGGCACTGACCACCCTGGACAGGGAGCCACATGGTACTGGCAGTGGTGTCCGTCCCTCCACGTGGCAGTGCACCCTGACCAGAGTGCCTTCTGCAGATGCGTTGAGTGCTCGCTGATGCTTACCCAGCGCCTGCTTCATGTTCTCCACACAGATGATGGGGTGTCGTTATCACCCCCTCCAGTTTGCAAAGGGGAAATTAAGCTCCATGAGGCTCCTTCTTGCTCCTGGTAATGTCACTAGAAATCTGGGGAGCCAGGATTTGAACCCAAAGAGTCTGTTTTTAGGATCTGTGCTCTCTAACCTTTATCCGCCACTGTTTTCAGTCAGTATGATTCTCCTTTGCGTATAAGAGTTGCATATCCTGGCAAGGAAATTCCAGATGAGTATGTCCAGTTACCTGGGAGCTGGAATTGCCCGTGAGCTGCTTCCACTGGATCAAACGTTCAGGTGATAGGAACAGATGGAGAAAGATGGAAATAAGGATAGAAAAGGAGAAACTGCAGGAAGAGCAGCATTTTGGCAGGAGGAAACTAAATTAGATCATTAAACATTTTAAGTGGGACGAAAGAATTAGAGCATTCAAAGCTGTCCTGTCACTGTTGACAGGACACTGATCGTGCTGCTCAGGCAGAGGGTGTGGCAGAGGGGCAGACTTCTCGGAACTGGGAAATGGTGTGACAGGAGAGACGGAAGAGAGGGGCCAGAGCTCAGGACAGAATCACGAGGGACACAGACACCCTCCATTCAGTTCCACGAAGATGACATCTTGTCATTTGATTCATTAGCCTGCTCGTTAGCTTTGTGCATGATAAAATACAGCAGATTTAACTTGTCCTGTCACATTCAGCTGCGTTTGTTAGAACACAGAGATTCATCTTGGGTGGCTCCTTAGGCGGGTTTGTTTTTACTCAAATAAAATCCCTGGCACAGGATAATGGAAAAAAAAATCCAGAGTTTCATAATACGCAGTGTACTGTTTCTACACTTGAGAATTTTGAGTGTTTTGGAAATAATAAGTCTGTTTCCACAATTTTCTGCTCTCCACTAGGTTCTCGGAACACCAAATGAGGACACGTGGCCCGGGGTACATTCTTTACCACATTTTAAGCCAGGTATGTGTCATGCATTCCAAACGCCAAGTGCTTCCTGTGTGCAAAGGGTGAATATACAGATGTTCGCTCTCAAGGAACGGAGTGCCTTCTTCAATTCTGGTTCCTTTCGACAGTGTCTATTTTATGTTTTCACGACGTTGTCTTTTTGCTTTCACAATTCATGTGTGCGTAGAGTTAACGATGTCTTTCAAAAAGATTTTCACCATATAAATTTAGTTGGACTTGACTGATCTTGCAGTAGCCACACATTTTATTGTCAAATAAACCAGCGTCTACGTCTATAAAAACAAATTAGAGCACCACCTCCCATCTGTGTCAGTTCTTTAAAAATATTACATGGTAAAAGTATTACATGGTAATATTTTGATTTTTCTTACAAAACGAGAAATGCATGCTTTAAGCTTAAAATATAAAGTGTTCTGGCTGCCCTGTTGTATAGCATTCAATATGTTTCCATGCAGAGTATCTAAGAGGAAGTGGGAAATTTGAAAAATAAATTGTCATTGTTTTCCTCACCAGTAGGTGGCAGTCATGAAACTTTCAATTGTAATTACAGTATAAGAAAATCTAAAACATGGACTATTGACTTTTTTGAAGGGGTGAAAAATCTGAAATAGGAAATTCAACAAAATCAGTAGAATGAATTATTTTTAGATGATTCTTGTTTTTTTTTTTTCCACTTACAAAACTTGGTTTATAAAATGCAGACCCATCACAAAATTACTGAAGGGATATTATGGAAGATCTAATAGTCCATTATCCTAGGAGGGAAAAGGACCATGAATACTTTCTGTTAGGAGAGCCAAGTCTATTCTTTTGCTCCTCTTCCTTTCTTTTGGGGATTATCAGAAATAAATTATCAATTCCAAAGAATGACTATGTTGAGAAACTATTTTTATTCTTAATATTTTTGTTCTGAAAGTGTACAGTGTGCTGAGAATTCTTTTATCTTCTTCTGCAGCCCCAAAGACTCTTTGTGCTTTTACTGAAAATTCTAAATGACTCCTATGTTCTGAAAGATACTAAAAACTTCACAGTTTAAGAGGACCATTTTTCAAGCAGACAAGAAGTATCCTCCATCTACTCTTCCCTAGTGTTGCTTAAGTGAAGAACACAACTCTTCATAAATGTTTCAGCTGTAGACTTTTAAAGAAGGTTAGCTTCCCATGTTAGGACCTAAAATTTTAAGTCCCAGGGAAATAAACAGGAGATTGTTAAAAAAAAAAAAACAAACAAAATGAATGAAACAAAAAAACAAGAATTACACAGGAGAATTTGAAAAGATTTTAAATGAATAAAGTCAGATACAGAAAGGAACGATTACAAGACAGTCATTTAGCCTGCCAAAATTTGGGCTAGAAAACACAGAGGAATTTGTCTACTTTGGTGTGAATAGAACTTACCTCCGTCAACAACAACTTACACAAGCATTTATTAAATATGTTCCAGAAAGTACTGTGATACAGTGTAAAGCAAGCTAACAGACTGTGGACTTCCTGAGTCCAGAGACTTGTGCATAGCACATATTTTGTGTTCAAAAAATAGTTGTTGTTCTGACTTGTATCGAATGTTTAGCACAGATATTATTTATGTGACTTCTCCGATAGACACAGGAAGATAAGGAGATACATATATATATATTCAGTATTATGTGTAATGCCTGCATTAGACACAGAATACATAGGGTACAGTGGAGGCCCAAAGAACCTCAGATTCCTATGGGGTAAGAGTGGTGCTGGTGAGTGTGGAAGAGATTGCAAGCCACGCGGGGTGCTTGTGACCAGAGCAAACTTGGGAAATGCTTCCGAGCTGGCTTGAGAAGAGGCAGGGGAGCCGAGGTTATAGACTGAGGCAGTGGAAGCAAGTCTCTGAAGACCTTCCCACAGCACTCAGCTGGGCCATCCGGAAGTCCCAGTCTCTAACTGGGAGACCCTCTCCTTCAGGGGAAGAAAATGAACATTCCCCAGGGAGGAAAGGCAGTGCCAGGCTCCCCTGTCCCACCCCGCCCCGCCGTCTTAGTCTGCCCAAATAATGCCGCGGGAAGTCAGAGAGGAAAAGCGAGTGAGCACGAGCAGTTCCTTGTTCGCTTTGCAAGCGATGATAAAGTAACTCGCAGAGCTGAACAGTGTGAAGAAGGAGCGAGAACAAACCTTCCCCCAGCCCTGGTCCTGGCCCCGTCTCCCTGGGAGCGTTGCCTTCCACAGGCACTCAAGAGTATTCGTTTCTAACGCATGTTTCCTTTAAGGAAATGCAAGACATTAGTAGTATCCATGTGTGTTTCTACCATATTAAACGCAGTTCTGCAGCTTTTCTCATTGCACAGCTTGTGGTCTTTGCCTAATGTCTCTTCAGGCTGCACTGTTTTCTGTTGTATGGATCGAACCTGGTCCCTCATTGTGGACATTGCGGCTTTTTTCAGCATTTTGCAATTTAAATATTAATGTAGTTGATAACCTTGTACATATATGTACAGATTGCGTGTTTGCAAGTATATCTGAAGGATAAATGAGAAATTGGTATAAACAGTTACAACTTTTAATACTGTTGTCAAACTGCTGCTGGATGGTACCCTTCCTCTCTGTTTTGTTCTGTTTTTTTTTTTTTTTTTTTTTTTTTTCCAGTACCAGGAACCGAACTCACGACCTTGCACTTGCAAGGCAGGTGCTGTGCCACTGAGCTAAATCCCCAGCCCCTACCCTTCCTCTCTGTTAAAGCAAGTGTGCCCAGGCGGGTGAGGGAAGTGACAAAAGGAATTGCACTTAGAGAGTGACAGAAGGAATCAAACTTTCATTTCAGTTTGCCTGCTCCTTTTAATGAGCTTGAACATCCTTTCGCCCGTTTCAGGGGTTGTTTGCCTTTCCTCTTCTGTGAACTGTTTATATCCTTTGTCCAGCTAACCGTTGAGGTTTGTGTATCATTTTCTTGTCAGTTACGAGGAGTGCTCTATATTTTAGACAAACCTTCCTTCTATCTATGAAAACCTTTTATTTCTCTGGCACTTTGAAAAAATGATCTTTTCTATTTTTAAAGCAATGTTGAACATAATCTTCATTCCTGGGCTTTAACTTGCCTCAATGAATAAACTTTGCCTCAAGAACGAAAGCCCATGGTGTCTTTAGGGCAAGAGTGATCTTAGAAAAACCAGTTCCTGTTACAGATATGCATATCTGCTTATCCATGTAAAAGCAACAGTTTAGATTTACAAATACCTTATTTTATGGCCATGTTCTAGGTCTTATATATGTCTAAAAAGCTGAATCTCTTGGTTTTAACACATTATGTTAATTTACATAGAGTGAAAGTCATTTATTGATGCAATAATGCAGTGTTTGATAGTACCACTCATATGTCTAGGGACTAATGATGTTACATTAAACAAAACAGAAGCGTCCCTATCAAGAGCAGATGCAGTAAGGAACATGATCAGTGGAGTAGGCGGTGGTCTATCACAGGCCAAGAAGCACATTCAGGAACTGCTGGGACTGCTGAGAAGAGGCTGGTCTAATTTTAAATAGGGTCATCAAGAAAGACCTCCCTGAAAAAAGTGACATTTGACTGAAGGGCTTGAGGGAGAGCAGTGTGAAGCTATTCTCCCGGAAGAACAGGAAATACAAATGCGCTAGAGTTTGCAGAAGTCGGGAGCATGAAGTCACAGGCAACGGGGGCTGGAACGGGCCTTGGGGTCCTTGAGGCTCATGTGAGTCCTTCACCATCCGGGCTCCACAGGTGAGAAAGCCTGCAAATCGTGAACAGGGAGTGCCTGAGTGGGGTTGTGTGTTAGCACGCTCACCCTGGGAGGCTGACGGGAGCTGCAGGGAGAAGGCAGAATGAACCCTCACCTTTTGTACTCACCACTGCCCCTTGAAACTTAGAGTGTTTGCTCTTGAAAAGTATTTTCCCCTAGAAAAAGAATTGAAGAGACCTTTTTTTCATTGTTAAAATAGTAAAAGAAAATTTTATTCTTTAATAGGTAGCCCGCAGATACTCTTTTGTGCACTTACATTATGCTACCACGGGGTGCGCCACTTGGCTTATTCCCACAGCAAGCAGGCGGCTATGACAAACTGCACTACATTGTGTGTATGTGCATATATTCATGCACAACTGCACTTTACACGTGCATGTGTGCTTGTGTGTGGCACAGTGAGGAATCTCTCCTTGGAGCCACTGTTTTCTCCGTTATGTATTTTTATTTAAGTTTCTCTTAAAAGAAGCGAGGGGCTGGGGGTTTAGCTCAGTGGCGCAGCACCTGCCTGGCAAGCGTGAGGTCTTCCCAGTACCCAAAACACAAAAACGAAAAAAAGAAGGTGGAAGAGGGTCTGTTTCTTTTTTGAACTTCATGGCTTTCTGTTCCTTTTTCCATACTATCAGAGCTCTGTGATTTAGATCCTTTTAAATGGGTTTCTTTCTCCTCATTCCTTTCTCTGTCTCTTTGTCTATGTCTGTCTCTCTCGTCCCCTCCCTTCCCCTCTCGTCCCCACCTCTCTTTTCCCTCCTCCCCTCTCCTCTCATTCATCCTCTCTTTCGACCCCACCCCTTTTTATTGCTTTGCTCAGGATGCTTCCTTAGGACAGCTCAGAGTTGAGCAGCTACACTGATATTCTCACAGCCTCATTCTGTCACATGTGATGAGATTCCTTCCAGGCTAAACTCCATTGTCTAAAACAGGAGACTCCACTGTAATAAGTTTCCTTTTGCAAATTTCACAGTCACTGGTTAACAGGAGGCCTTTGTACTGCACTGTGCATCTTACTTTATTTCTGGGATAATAAATGCCCTCCCAATGTGAACCCCATGTTCTCCCACTAGTTTTACTCCTGCCGCAACCCATTGACTGATGCAGCGTGGTTCCTAAGCCTATGATAAAGTGATGCTTGACATTTGTTTTTGTTGAGAGAGAGACTTAGCATTCATTTTTTTCAGAAGAAAATTTGCATACCTAGTTGAGGGATTGTGGTAACCTTAGATCAGGGCAGAGCACACATGAACATTAGTAAAAT